CCCCACCTAATATTCTTGTTGTACAAACCATTAACAATCTACTGAAGACAAAGAAGGTGCTGGACATTTGGAGACTGCAGCACCCATCTGATCGGGATTACTCTTGTTATTCGCATGTGCACAGATCATACACATAGATCGATTATTTTCTGGTCGATTCCAGATTAATTTCTAACATAAACCACAACAAAAATATGACAACATAATAATATCTGACCACAGTCCCGTTAATCTTATTCTTAAATTGTGCTCCCCTAGACATGCCTATAGTTGGTGTTTTAATCCCTATCTCCTTGAGGATCAGGCTTTTAAAACACACATCACTACGCACATATCACGGTTCCTTGAGACCAACGACAATGGGGAGGTGAATGACACAATACTGTGGGAAACACTCAAAGTGTATATTAGAGGGCAAATCATTTCTTATGAAGCAACACTGAAAAGGACTAAGCAAGGCAGATTGGAAGAGATTGAAAAAGAGCTACAAACTGCTGAATAGATCTACCGAAATTTCATTTTCATTAATCCAATCAGATTACAACACAATTCTTAAATTAAAGTACAAGTATAATGCCCTTCTGGGAGAACAAATAGGCAACTTACTACTGAAGTTTAAACGGAGGCACTTTGAGCTTGGTGACAAGCCACAGAAGTTACTGACAAGGCAGTTTAAAGGAGAACAAGCAAAACGTGCGGATGGGTTTGGGCCAGAGTTTTACGAAGCCTTTCAAGGGGTCCTTGCACCAGCTCTGTTTTGTTTGCTTCCATCCTCTCTCAGTGAAGCAAATATTTGTGTTTTATTAAAAAAGGACAAGGATGAAACAGACCAGGGTAGCTACAGGCCTATTGCCCTACTAAATTACGATCTGAAAATAATTACAAAAGTTCTAGCAAACCAGCTCGGTAAAAATGTAGTAAGTATCATTCACCCGGACCAAACAGGATTTATTCCGGGCAGGTACTCCTTCTGTAATGTCTGCAAAATCCTCAATATCATGTGTGCAGACTATAACACAGATGAGAGAGAGTGGCTATATTGTCCTTAGACGCTCATAAGGCGTTTGATATGATAGAGTGGCCTTATCTATTTGCGACACTTAAGAAATTTGGATTCGGTGACACTTTCATAGAGTGGGTCAAAATATTATACAGCAACCCAAAATCTAAAACAAAAACAAACGGGGACAGATCTGGTCCGTTCACTCTGCAGCGCGGCGTTCGCCAGGGGGATCCATTGTCCCCCCTGCTGTTCAATATGGCACTGGAGCCCCTGGCTATTGGTATTAGAGAACATCCATACATTAAAGGTATTAGGTCAGGCAGCACAGAGACCCGTGTGACTCTGTATGCGGACGACCTCCTCCGCCACAAACTGGAGAAAGAGTGAGTTCATGCCCTTATCAGACCAAGTCACTGAGGACTTCCTGACAAAATTGCCTTTTATAGTGATGAAGGAGTACTTCACCTATTTAGGGCTTAAACTGATGAAAAGCCCTAGGTATCTCTTCAAATTTAACTTTACAGAATCTATAGAAAAACTAAACAAGTATTGAGTCTTGGAGAATACTGCCCCTATCTATGATCGGTCGGGTCAATGCAATCAAAATGGTGAGCCTACCCAGGTTTCTATACCTTTTCCGGAACTTGCCCATATACTTAAATGCATCTTTTTTTAAGAAGCTTGACTATCATACTGCCCTTTGTGTGGGTTTACAAATCACACAGGAAATCCAAGGCTCACCTTCAAAAACCTTCCAAACAGGGTGGTCTGGGACTGCCTGTTTTTAAACACTACTATTGGGCAGCCAACTCCAGGGCTCTTACCTACAGCAAAACTTCACCGTGAAGAACTCCTTGCGAATCCTAAATCAGATAAAAGTGGCTTGCCGGGTTCCCAGTGTCTCCATGCATGCGCCCATATGTCAAAATCATTCAAATTTTGCCTGCCTGGTTGGACGGGGTGTTTGCGGTCTGGAGAGAGAGGGGTATTAGAACATTTTTAAATCTGTACATTAACGGCCAATTAGCATCTTTTGCTCAGCTCAGTAATAAATTTAATCTTCCAAATTCTCACTTTTCGTTACCTCCAAGTCAGACACTATGTCAAGGAGAATTGGCCACATTTCGATTCTGCCTCCACTACCCATCGTTTCCTTGAGACCCTCCTGCTCCCTTCAGACTCCAGACAGTTAATATCAAAATTTGTGGGTTCTTTTACCAATTCAGTTTCCTCTGATTTTATTAGGGAAGCTTGAGCCAAAGACTTGAACTCTGAAATATCGGCAGAGCTTTGGGAGGAGGCACTGTCTCGGGTCCACTGTTGCTCTTTTCTCTGTAAGTCTATTTATGTAAATTTGAAACTGTCTGGCAGCCCCCCTTTTTTTAAATCTTTTTTTTTCTTTTCCATTTCCTC